TGTCTCGCAAGTGATTTATTTGGATATTTTAAAGTTTCTTTGATTGTGCTTGTCAAAAACTGTTTGTTTGTTTGTTATGGATTTCGCGCAAACGAGGGCTACATGCGCTAGCCGTCCCTAATTTAGTGTAAGACTAGATAAAAGGTAGCGAGTCATCACCACTCACCGCCAACTCTTGGGCTACTCTTTCAACAACGAACAGTGGGATTGACCGTCACGTTATAACGCCCCCACGGCTGAAAGGGCGAGCATGTTTGGTGTGACGGGGATTCAAACCCGCGACCTGCAGATTGCGAATCGAGCGCCCTAACCACCTGGCCGTCAGAAACTGTGTCAGTAGGTTTGATAACGGGTTTTATTAGATGGATGACAACTAATTTTTGGTGGGATGTAATTCACTTTTTGTTAGAGTTCTGGTTTTTCGGAAGGAGTCAACGGGAACTTCAGAAAATATCTGTTTAAGGGATCGTTGAGTTGTAGGAAATGCAAGTGTTTTTTTTTCAGAATTCGTGAAACGTTTCTGAGTTTAAAGTGATAGGTAATGATAATAATAATTCTATTTGAAACTTTGTCCTGTTTTAGGATGTTTTTCCACTAACTGTTGTTAACCTTTTCGATCTGTCTGTCGATTTCGGTATCTTTATATCCTCTTTGTAACATGGTTTGTTTTAGATCCTTGGTGTGTTTTCTGTTTCATATTTTCTTTATTCTGAGAGCTTGGATGTAGGTAGTGTTTCGTTGTGTGAGAGGAGTGACAACTTTTATAGTAAAGGTATTGTGGTCTGTCTGTAGATTTTTGTACAAGTCAATGTGTAAAATTCCGTCTTTTAAAAAGACAGTGACGTCAAGAAAGTTCATCTGGGTAGGAGAGTAATCACAGGTAAACTTGATTGTTTTGTGAAAGGAGTTTGTATGTGAGATAAATTCTTTAAGTGATTTAAGACTGGCTGTCCAAATGAAAAATATGTCGTTTATGTAACGTTTCCGTGTGTGAGGTTTTACAGGGCTTAGTTGTAAAAGCTGGTTTCCAATATGGCCCATAAAAA